AACAATTCTGTAGTTTCAGAGGGAAATCCTCCCTTTGGAAATGGAACAAGGAATTTAGCACTCCTATAAACCATGGAAGAAATACAGATAAGATTTTTAGAATCAGTCCCTTACAGTATTTAAAATTAAGTACATCTCCTGTTTAAAAATGAATAGTGGTCCATCAATGTTTAGTAAATTAAAAACACACCTAACTCCACCCACATTTTAAATTTCAGCACAGTCCCTAGTACAAACAAACAATTCATTTTTGCAAATTCTCTCGCTTCCTTTTAACTGACAGGATTTACATCTGATAACCGGAAAGGAAAGAAGAAAATGTAACCTGATTAGCAGAGGCCGCTATCTGGACAACCTGGCTTAGATTTGTGAATGTTTCTTCTTCTGTACCACTCCCCCCATTGCTGAACCTTCTGGTGTCAAAAAAAAAAAAAAAAAAAACCCATAAAGCACCTGCTTTACAGATCAATCGAAATCTTGAAAGCCATTCCTGTTCAGGCACACAAACGATGCCTCTAATCTGGGGAAAGGAACAAGGGACCTCATCTATTTTGAACTTTAAAAAATTGTATGTGTCAAGTTATGGACAGGAAAGGTTGACTTCACTGTTACAGGCTCCCCACCCCCACCCTTCTTTCTTTCTTTCTTTCTTTTTCACCAATTTCCAGATCACATCAATTAGTTACAGTATTCTCCCATAGACTGGAACTAATTTACAGCACTCTTGATGGAAACGTCTGTACTTGCTATAAGTTCCAAATTGTACAATCAGTACTTTATTATAGTTACAAAGACTGCATCTAGGGGGCGGGGTGTTCTTATGAAGAACACTCCCATGACTCTCTGGACAGAAACTTATTTTTATACCATGAAGAAAATCTAAATCCCTAATTAAGCATTTGGACCATTCTGAAAAGCTTTTCAGTGGTTTATTTCTGCTGAAGTGTCTTACTCTGACCAAAAGTGCTTGCTTCCTTACTAAATAGAAGCAATTTGGGTAATCTTTCAGACTGGAACAAAAGCTGGGTGAGAATTTTGTGTTTCTTTTTACCCTAACAACATTCCCAAAGGCATACATTTCTCCATAAATGGGGCAGAAAGACTCTGATATTTGAAAACATATGGATGTAGGAGAAAGTGAAACGGCCCGATACATCCTTTTGGATAGACAGGGATCCTAATGCTTTTTGGACCCTTCTTCCTCAGTCTGAAACATGGCGGTTTTGAAAACAATGGTACATACCTATTCTGGGTATTTATTGGTCTATTCCTGTGCCTGATCCTCCCAGCAAAATACCATCAAAGGAGTGACTGTGAAAATTCAGTCTGACAATAGGAATCACTTTGCTCCTTTCGTCAGACTGAAGGAAGTCTGAGGAAGGAACCACAAATGGAGGAACAGGCTAATGCAAGTCAAGTGAATGGGTGTACCTTATTCCCATGATCGCCAAGCTTTCGATCTAATAGAAAGGGCATGAGGGCTGTTGACAGCTTAAAAAACAACTTATTCTGATCGCATTCTGAGAAAGAGGAGAGCTGTTTCACAACAAGCTGAGATCGAACTAAATAGTCAGTCTCTGGGTGTGCCTGGCTTGAGATGTCAGAAGTGCTGGCTCACATGAATTGTTCAACACATTTTCTCTTGAAGCTATTGCAGCAATGCGGCCGTGCCTGCAATCTGTGCTTTCTACACGGGCCTGTTGTGGCTTGTGAATCCGCTTCTCATCATAAAGCTGCCTATGCCAGTGATCAACATCCAAGTTTTGTTGGCACCAGAAAGCTGCTGTCTTTGTGGCACCATCCACATCTCCCCAGAAGAGAAGGATTTTTCACTGGTGATTGATGACCCTTGGTGTTGCATCCATTTGAACCTTGGAAGAAGGCCAGAGCTACCCTGGTCTGATAATTTTAGTAAAAGCAGCAGGTAATTCATAGAGAGGAGTATAGTATACAAATCCCAGAGTAAACACTGTTAGCTCAAACCTTGGTTTAGATCAGACTCCTATAGGTGCTATATGCCAGAGTATTCCAGTATCCCTTGTCTTTTTCTAAGGGTTTCCCAATAGCAGTAGCAACATATGTTTTCTCTTGCTTTTGCTTTAAGCTTTGTACATGAAAATCGGAACTCTCTTTCTTTATATGGTCAAACACTGCTCTTTGCATTGTACTTTAGAATATTATTTGCTCTCCATGCTTTATGGTTTAATAAAGTCTTTTTCCCTTCATTCAGTTGGTTTGCTTATTGCCTCAAAATTCTCTTAAAGAAATAAAGAACCTTTGACGTCAATATGCCAGGTTGAGGAAGGGTAGTTGAGTTAATGGATGTAAACATGAATTTCTTGGACAAAGGGCAGAATAAAAACATAGCCAAGGTGAATGGGTTTGATTTATTTCTATAGGAGGAAGTCAAATTGCAGGGTGGGACGGGAAGACAGTTGGCTTCTTTGTATTTCCTGGGATACATCGTATGTTAAGGCACCAGAAGAAAATATTCCCCCAAGCAGTCAACAAAGGTTGATTTGTGGGTTTAGTTGCTCCATTCTGATGGGTGCTTTTCCTACCCTTGGCTTCCCATCCCTATTCTCACTCTCACCCTTGCTTGTATTGCTGCTTTCATTTTGGGACATTTCTGCCTCGATTCTTATCTCTGCCTTTATTGCTGTTTGATTTATTGTTGGTGTTTTGATTGGATGATTTCCATTTTGGTCATCAGCCAGTTTTGATTTTTAATGCTGAAAGCCTGGATATGTTTTAAATTAAATACATTTAAACAAGTACATTTTGGCAATGGGGGTGTTTTAGTTACATCGTCAAGATAAGAAAGAATCTTTTTAAACCGCCTTTTGTCCACAAGGAAAGTGAGGGCAGGGGACAGAACATTATAAACAACAACAACATCATAAATGAGAGGCAACTTTTCAACTCACAACTCCATCCACTAAATGGCACTCAAAATCTTAAGTGTGTGAGTGAAAAGGGATGCTGTGATTTGTCACCAAAAGAACACAAAGTCACCCCGATTCTCTCTGTCATGGAGAACATGTCCAGATGAGGGGCACCACCACAAAAGAACCCAACTCTTTTGCTAGTGCTGCTGGTGATATTCCAAGAACTGCATTCATAACCGGCACTGGGGTTTCCCACAGGCAACCTCACAGCTTCTGGCATGACTGAGGTGTCACGAATAATTCAGTCACCCACGGAGCTTCCCAGGGGAGTCAGGATTGGAGCCTGGGTCTCCCTACTCATAGCCTTGTGCAAATTTTACTTTTTATTTAATTTTTCAATTTATATCCTGCCTTTTTCCTACAAAGGGCTCAAGGCAGCTTACATCCTCCTCCCCGCAACAACAGCCCAGTGAGGTAGGTTGGGCTGAGAGTCTGTGACTGGCCCAAAGTCCCCCGGCTGGCTCCATGGCTGAGTGGGGACTCGAACCCGGGTTGCCCGAGTCCCAGTCCCATGCTCTGAACCACCACACCACACTGGCTCTCTACACCACACTGCCTCCCTTTTCTTTTATCAAGCTGTTTTAAACTGAAATGATCATTGTACAGTTCTGCAAACACACAAGTCCTTCGCCCATGGAGGTCGCCTGTCCAGTGGGCTCCAGCTGAATCTTTAAATGCTACATTTTTAAGCAAAGTTAACTACAGCGCACACACATTGGGGCATAGATTTCTATCACACGCTTGTCCTGATCCACAAACTGAGGCTGGCCCTACCTTGTGCCTCCACTTGTCCCTGGAAGGCCACCAAAGTTTACAGCCACACAAGATTACCAATCACTTTGCCTGGGCTGATTTTAACGGGTGGAGCAGCAGAGCAGAGTCCAAGTAGAAGAATAGGGGATAAGCAGAATAGGGGATAAGCAGAATAGGGAATAAGAAACAGTCTTGCATCTGACGGCCTCCAGTTCAAATGCTGCCTCTGCCGTGAACTAGCTGGTGTTCCTAGGCAAGTCACTCTCGGCCTCAGCTAAGAATTCAGAACCACCGAGTAGTTCAGATTTGGATTTAGAAATGGAAATTCTAGACAAGGTGGAAACCGGGTTGTGGACAGATCTCTGAAATGCCCTGCCTTGGGTGTTCATGCAGGCTTTGCCATCAAAAAGCAAGGACTTCTGCTCCCCTCTACTGGTGTCATTGACAAAAGGCACGTCTGCGCATGAGAAGCATTTAAGATGCATAGAATTCTCACTCGGATGTTTAAATCAAAATCGAAAGTTTAGTCAGCCCTATTTCAATGACAGGAAAGGCGTTTATTTCAGAAAGCCAGATTTTTTTTTGCCATACGCTGCATGCAGAATTCAACAAATACCACAGAAAGGGTTGTCTGGCTGCCAACTGCTATTCCTTTGATTCAGCAGCGCGAGGGACTCCTCGCCCGTCCAGAAGAGCAGCAGAACAGGAGCAACATTCGTCCCATTCTGTTCCTCCAAGACTGCAGACCTCACGTGGGAAAGAAGCCTCCAGAAAGGGACCACTAAGAATAAAAGGTTAGAGGTTTTCCTTTCAATGTGTGTTACCCTGGATGTTACCCCAGGGTTTCTGCTTCATCATCTTTTGTGTTTGCACCATGCTTACAGATGGGTTTATTTATTTATTTATTTATTAAAACATTTTTATGCCGCCCCATTCGCCGAAGCCTCGGGGCGGCTCACATCATTAAGTTAAAATAATTATAATATAAATTAAAATATAAATATAAAATTAAAATACAACAGTACAGTATAAAATAAGCCGCCCTGGCCAGATAAAACCAATAATGTTAACAGTTAAAATGCCGCTTGAATAAAAAGGTCTTCGCCTGGCGCCGAAAAACAAGTAACGACGGCGCCAGGCGGACCTCTCTGGGGAGCGCGTTCCATAACTTAGGCGCCACCGCAGAGAAAGCC